TCCTAGAGCAAATTTTAAGCAGCGTTGTTTCAAATATCACTATCCGTGAGTGTAGCTCATGCAGGGAACCCCTGATTGACTCAGGCAGGCATGGGGATGTAATGCTTTCATTGCGAGAGGATGAGTCTTGCTGTGCTTCGCACGCAGATCTCCTTCTTTCATAAAGGCAACCCTGATCAGTGTTGTCAGTGAGTTAATTTGCATGCAAATTCCTCATGAAATCCATGGAGGAACTTGACCTGAATTGGTTGGCTCCCGAAGAGCTCACCAACAGCTGATTACCCAGCAAACAAGGGACGTCCCCCAGACATTTTGAACGTCCATTTAGGTCCGCTGTACGTTCGCTTTGTAACGTTCGCGGGCGGACGTTCGGAGGACGTCCGGATTTGGTCCGCTGTGTAACGTTTGCTGGGGACGTTTTGAGGACGTTTTGAGGACGTCCACTTACGTCCGGTTTTGGTTCACATTGTAACATTCGCTGGCGGACGTTCGGAGGACATTCGTTGGAGCCAGTTTGCGAACGTCCCTGTTTCGTCCCTCATCTGCCATTCCACTTACGTCCGGTTTTGGTTCACATTGTAACATTCGCTGGCGGACGTTCGGAGGACATTCGTCGGAGCCAGTTTGCGAACGTCCCTGTTTCGTCCCTTATCTGCCATTTCCATTACAACACTTGACAAATCCAGTCGCCCATGCATGGGCTTTTATCATCAGACCTGACCAGTGTTGGGGAGTAACTAGTTACATGTAACTACATTACGTAATTTAATTACAAAATAAATGTAACTGTATTCTGTTACAATTACTGAGAAAAAAAGTAATTAAATTACAGTTACTTATGAAAATGTTAATGATTACAAAGAGAGTTACATCTGAATATTTTCACACATAAACATATTTAAAATATGAGACACCAATGTTTCAGGAGTTGAGGACACAGAATAAGACACATGCTTATTCGATAACTGTTTTATTTCCTATTTTGGTTTGCTATTTTATTTTTTTAAGATTAACTGTTTTTTTCCCCCCAAGGCATTTTAGATGCCAGTGTTTCCTGTCATAGCTATGCAAATAATTTATTTCAAAAACAGTATCATAGCTATTAAACTATATCTTATGATTTTAAATCTGTATTTAACCTCAAAAAGATCTCAAAGTAAAAAGAGCTGCTAAAGTCCGATTTTGAGGTGGTTGTGCTTTACAATTAAATTATTATAGGCCTAATCTTAATTCAAGTGAAGAAGGATTCTGAAAGTCTGACAGTAATCAGTGCTGAGTACCACTGTAACGTTAACCCTGCCTGATTTAAATGTTTCAAAATAATACAAAATTGACAACAATAGAAATTTAGAAAAGTAATCAAAAAGTAATCAAGTGAAATCAGTTACATTACTTTAATAAAGTAACTGAAACAGTTACATTACATATTACATTTTAAATAGGGTAACTTGTAATCTGTAACCTATCACAACAAGTAACCTTCCCAACACTGGACCTGACACCTTGCAACTCCGACAAAGAGTTGACAAAATTAAACTAAAATATAAACCCATATTGGATTTTAAACATTCCTGAAAACAAAATCCCTTTTTTAACAGTGATAATAGAATGCAAAATGCAAAAGAATGCAAAATATTTTGCAGATTGATATTATTATAATTTTTTTACTATAGTATAATAGATTTGAATACATTGTAAAATGAAGTTAATGTTAAATTAATAATTTTTATTTCTGGAAAAAGAAAATAGGAGTAACTTCTGTAATTAAAAATGTCATCAAATCAGGAGTCTGTTTTCAGCATTTAAACATCAAAATCATGATACCCTTCAATAATATAATTGAACATATAGGCTACAGTTAGGTTTATGCACTCCCCATGCATGAAGAAAATAAGGTTGCATCCCAGGAGCTCTACAACAATGTTATAGAGTGATGAATGCAGCCAAGGAAAACACGAAGACAAGAAAGTGGAAAATAACACAGGTACGACAAATAAATAAATTATTTCCATTTACATATTAAACTGTTGGTAAGCCGACAAGAAAAGTTATTTAGTAAAATTATTATTTTAGTTATTGCATTTAAGACTGCTATACCATGTGCAGCTCAAAA